GTGTTTATGTAAAAAACATATTTTTGTGTCGATAAGCCTGAGTGGTCTGTTGACTGACTGTTTGTTCAAATAATTGTTATGGGCAGGTTACAATATAAAAAATTGTTTGTCATAATCACATCTTGTGATTATTTGACAGGAGTTTTACTTTTAAAACTTAAGTGTATTTAATTTAGTTATGATGTAAATACAATAAAAATTAAACCAAGATTTAGAATAAACATCATTTTGATCCGTACATTGGTAATGTGTGACTGGGCCTCGTGTCACTTTATGTTCAACAAATTGGGCCCCGAGGTCAAAAAGGTTAAAAACCCCTGTTTTGAGGCAAAGATAACTTGGAAACAGATTCAGTTGTGCAACAAGTTCATTGTTTTATTTGCCGCCTTCCTTGTCTCTGCTTAATGACAGCAGCTGTGTTTGACTTTTTAGTGATTGATGTTTAACTGTTGCCCTGCTGATGAGAAGTGAGACTCGCGTGTCTTACTGCGCATGTCTAAGCAGGAAATCTGTCATCCATCCAGTGGGTCCAGTAAGCAAACCATGAGTTCACATTCCTAAATGATTTAAAGCTGGCTTGAATGAGCCGCCTCATAAAGCGTGACCTGATGTTTGAACAACAGATTACAGCTGTTTACAAGTTGAAGGCTTGTTCAAGCTCAGCTTACAGCTGATATCCTGGATTTATAAATCTGACTTTTCTGAATTGTGTGAAACGAGCCCCAATTGATGAAGTTTTTGGAGGAGAATGTTCTCCCATTCTTGTCAATATAATGTAGGATTCTAGCTTTTTAAAGGTCCTGCCTCTTTTTTGCTGGAGCTTTTGACAGATGGGAGCATTTGTTGTTCAAAATTCTGTTTGTACTTTTCTGCATTGATGGGGCTTTCCATGCCAGAGGCACTAATGCAACCCCATAACATTAAAGAGGCAGGCTTTTAGAACTGTGTGGTGATAATAGGCCGGTTGGTCCCTCTCCTCTTTAGTATTGAGGACGTGGCATCAGTGGTTTCCAAAGAGAATTTCAAATAAGAATTTATCTGACAGAGAAATAGTTTTTCACTTTGCCTCAGTCTACTTTATATGAGAGTACATGGCAGTGTTTTTGGATTGGTTTTGGCCATTGGAACTTTTTTTTTCATAACAGAGCTTTAACCAGCATTTGTGGATGGTATGGTAAACTGTGTTTACAGAGAACGATTTATGAACGTGTTACTGAGTCCACACAGAACAGGATAAGACCTGCTTTTAATGCAGTGGCCCCTGAGGGCCTAAAGATCACGGACATCAAGTGGTGACTTTCAGCCCATAAGCTCAAAGATTTCTACAGATTCCTGAAATCTTTTGCTGATATTATGATTTATGAGGAACCTATTCTGAAACTATCCTTTTTATTTTTTAAACAGTTTATTACTGGTGAACTTCAGCCCAGCTTTATTTTTGACAGAATCAGCCTCTTTATAGCCCCGTTTCCATTGTCAAGTCTCACTCTAATCGGTTCATGTAGGTTCAGTTCTATCCAAGTGTAGGTGTGTCTCCATGGCCGTGTGTCCCTCATTCTGTGGGTTGAGACTTTGAGCAAATCATTAGCTGGTGGCTTCGGATGTTGTGGTCTTACTGTCTCGTAGTCGGACTTCAGTTTTTAAATTTGTTATGTGATTATTTATAAATACACATGTACAGAGTTGTAAAGTAACTAAGTACAAATACTTCTTTACTGTACTTAAGTAGAATTTTTGGGTATCTGTACTTTACTTGAGTAATTGTTTTTAAGCGTATATACATATATACATATATACATATATATACATATATATATGTATATATAT